ACCCCTCCAACGCCAGGCTGAACAACCTGACCTGTACTGCAGGAAAGCCTTCAAGGCTCAGCCACATCGCTTATGATATGGCCAAAGTCCGCTGAATGACCATTATCTCTGTTACCTCAGGCGAGGTCAGCCCAAGACAGTGGCTGTCCCCTGGCTGTGCAGGAGCCTCACAGGGAGCTTGGGCACGCTTGCCCCCCAGCCCCTCCTCAGCCTGACTATGCCAGAACTGGCCTGGAAGGGCAGGTGGGGTTGTTTTTAAAAGGTGACGCCAGGGCACAGCCAGGACTAAGGACACCAGGGCCAATGGACAGGTCAGAACGTGCTGGTTACAAGCACAGGCTCTGCCAACTCCAGCTTGGACCAAATGTCTCTGGGCTACTTGCTAACAAAGGACCTGGGGTGTGCTTCATCTCCCGATCTGTGTATCAAGAAAGCAACACTAACCAGATCATGTGCCAGTGAAGGAAGAGTGCTGAGTGGGCACAGGCTGGCGCCGCAGGGACTTGGGAGCAGCAGCAGACCACTGCCCAGCCCTCTGACAACGCTGCTTAGCTTCCTCTTCTCCACACTGGTTCATTCTGGTTACTTTTAGCCCTTCCTCTCTGGACTGAAATGCCCACCCTTTGTCACACAGAGGAACACACTTAGCTCCCTCTTCCAGAGGCTGGGGAATGGAGCCAGAACCAAGGGCGGTAAATAAGGGGAGGAGCCATCCTAGGCCTCCTACCTGCTGGGTCAAACCTCACCTCCTTCCCTATGGCAGGAACCACACGCTCTGTGTGCATGCCGGTCCCCAGAGGAGCAGGGCTCCTTTGGCAGAGGCCACTGAGACCCAGATCTTCAGCTCTGCACAGAGCCCAGACATCCTACCTCAGACTAGAGTAATGGGGTCTCCCTCTAGCCTAGTGTAGCTTGCTGCTGCGTGCACAGGGATGTTCCACAAGAGAGCTGGGCGCTGACTCTGGAGCCCTCATACGTTGTCCGGGAGGAACCCTGGGTCACCTGGGACCTGGAGCTGGTGCCTCACAGGGAGCTGCAGCAGGCCAGGTCCAGAAGTCAATGACTGCCTTGTCAAGAGTGCAGCACCATGGCTACACGCCGAGAACTTGGAGACACACACACAGGGTCCCGGGGCCTGGCAGAGTCCAGCAGGCTCCAGTGCATAGGGCAGAGCCTGGGGGCCTGGTGGCAGGGAATGGCCTGCGAGGCGCCTTTGCCTTTCGGCCTGGCTCCCTATGCTGTTTTGACCCAAGACAGCAGTTACAGCCTGCAGGAGACACTGAGGAGGGGTGTCCCAGGAAGGACAAAGGTCACTATCAGTGTAGTGCCAGGGCCCAGGATCAGGCACCTGGGGTTGCCGGCTAGACAAGCAGGCCAGACCAACGACATTTTCTCTACAGAAGACGTAGAGTCCAGATGTGGACTGGCCCCTGTTTCAAGAACAGTCCCCTCCACGCTGCTGTCTGAGTGTGACCATTTTTGTCACCATCTATGCACTAACGTTCTCTAAAATTCCCTGCAGTCCTTGCTGGCTGTGTCATCTGGGGCAGGTTACTTAACCCCTCTGAGCCTTGGACTTTTTGTGTCCAGGAATTCCTACCTTTCAGAATTAAGGAAAGGACCCTGATGTTACACCCCGCCACCATGTTGGGCCTAGGAAATGGCGGCTGTGAGCACTCTCTTTTGCTTTCTGTACTTGGCCTGCTGTAGCTCACCAGGCTTTGCAGCTCCCTGTGAGAAGGCACCACTTCTTCGTTTACGCTCTAATGTTTTTGGTCCTGGGCCAACAGTCAGTGGTGAGTTTAATCTGAGGTTCTTATTCCAGAAAACAGAGACGAGAGAGCCCAGCAAGAGTTGCTTTCTAAACCATCCCCAAATCTGTTCCTGGCAGAAGGAAATGAGCCAGGGTGGGAGGTGACCTTGGAAATGACATAATTTGGAATGTGTGTATGTGTGCTTGTTCGTTTGTTTTTTTGGGGGGTGCTCCCGTTCAAATAACAAATGTTTTCCACCTTAGCAAACTATTAAAAGCCAAGTATGGAAACAAACAGGTTGCCCCTTGGCTAACGGAGCTGCAGATGGCAGCAGGAAACAGCCCCATCCGACTTGCTCCTTCCCCTAGAGTGGCCCTCAGGACACAGGGCCGGCCAGCGCTGCATGCAGGGAAATCTGGAAGAGAGGGAGGCGCAGAGAGGTGGGCAGCAGGCATGAGGAATGAGGCAAAGAAAAATGGCCTGCAAAATACACAGCGCCCAGCACGCTCGCTTCCTGGAGCCCGCCCATGAATCGAGGGGTGACAGGTCTCTCATCTCTGATGCCAAGAGCCAGGAGCTCCGGGCAGCCGCAGGTACTACATCCGCACCTGCCAGCACTTGGGAAGAGGCAATAAAGCATCGTGGCAGGGCTGGGAATGCTAAGTGTCTGCAGCTGGAGGATAGCCGCGCACGCTCCCTGGCAACGAGGGCAGCTCCAGGACCACACCGGCCACACTAGTTGGCTCGGCCTCCTGCGTAGCCTGTGCCCAGGGGCAGGGCAGCCGATGGAAGCAGGCCAGGACAGGTGCACGCACAGGCTAGCTTGGTGCTGGCCAGCTGGACAGGCAGCGACCTCTGGCAGGAAGTCTGGTGGACAGGCCAAAGCTGGGACGCTTGAGTCACCAGTAAATAAAAGGAGGCAGTAAAGCAGCCCCATAAAACAGTCACATCTGGAAATAGGTGTGGGCGGTGGGTGGTGGAGACCGTGGGCAGGGCCCTGCTAGATCACGGCCACAACCATGTTTATAGAAAGCTGGCATGATGGCACACACTCGTAATTCTAGCCCCAGGGAGGCTGAGGCAGAAGGACTGCCAAGAGTTTGAGGCCAGCATGGGCAAGGCCAGCTTGACCATGTAGTGAGACTCTGTCTCAACAAAGAAAAACAAAATAATGTTTCTATAGCAGCTTGGGACACACGGGCATGGACCCCACCATCACAATAACCCTGAGAAGCAGGCGGCGGCGGCCTCTTACAAACAGGAGCTTGTGGCAGCGCAGAGGTCACAGCCTGGCACTGAGGCAGGCAGGATATGGCCCGGAGGCTCTCCCAAGCTGGGCTGCTCAAAGTCCACTGAGCCCACCAGTCCTGGGGACACAGGAGTGCAGACCTGTGCACAAGTGCTGCAGGGCCTGGGTCACTACTGAGCTCCTGGTGCTGCTGGCCCACGGGCCACACCAGAGTAGCACGGCTCTAACCACGGTGCTCCATCCCTAGGGATGTCTTCGCCACTCTAGTAAGTCCAACCCCTGCTCCGGACTCTGGGGGCATCTGTGAATTCCCGGATGGCAGAGAAGGCTACCCAGGGCATCAGAACTGTAGGGGGGTGGGATGTGGGAAGTCTTAGAAAATTGTAATCTGTATGTGTGGTGCATACCTAGAATCACAGCATTCTGCGAAGCTGAGACAGAAACATCACAAACTCAAGCCTATCATGGGAAACTTTGACTCTCATTCAAAATGAAAGCTATAAATAAAAAAGAAAATATAGAGGGCTGGAGATGGGACTCAGGGCAAAGAACCTGGATTCAATCCCTACAGCCCACAGAAGAGAGGAGGAGAGATGAGGGGAGAAGTAAGGGGAGGGGAGGAGAGAAAAGCCTGTTCCTGGGCTGAAGGTTCCACTGTTCTCTGCAGTTGAGCTCCATCTCCCTCACACACACACACTTCAAGAGTTCAAGAGTTCAAGGCTTCAAGAGTTCAAGCATTGTCTGAATAACTTTTTCTTTAACACCTCACCCTGTGCCCCTGGGAAAAGTTGCGGGCAAAGTGGGCAGCTATGGGCAGGGAGGGAGGGGCTCCAGACCATGCAAGCAAACATAATCCAGACGTCTCTGTTGGACACCCACCTCCCCACCAGCACCCAGGGATGTCACAGCCTGCTCTGTAGCTGGTCCTGCTCCCTGGAAGGGTGACCCCCCCCCAGCAGCATCCACTCAATGCACATCATAGGACCCCCTCCCTTGGGACCAGACTATGGCCCCCAAGGCTACATTTCCCCCCATGCTAGGTTTGGAGACACTCTGAGTGTCCCTAAGGCTACCCTTTGTCAAAATGTAATCCCTGACTTGAGGTGGTCAAGAGGGAAGCTTAATCTGAGGTGGCATTGAGAAGGGGGATCCTGGGGGTGGCGCCATGATGGTGGAGTCCCAGGATTGAATCCTGGTGGTCCCGTAAGACGAGACTCCTTCTCCCTCCCTCAGGACTGCAGCAAGGCCATCACCAGGTACAACCTCCAATCTGGCACCACCAGAACCATGAGCCAAAATAAACCTCCTCTCTGGGGGCTGGAGAAATAGCTCAGTGGCATAAGCGCCTGCCTGGCAAGCATAAGGTCCTGGGTTCAATCCCCGGTACCAAAAAAAAAAAAAAAAAGACTGTACATCTCAGCTTGTGATGCAGCTAGTGACTTCCGAGCACTGTGAGCGGAAACAAGGCATCATTTCTAAGAAGAGTTCTTAGAAACAACTGGCATTTCCTCCTCTTCCTTCTTTCTCCTGATATAAATGCCAGAGCAAGATGGGGTGACCTCGGACACAAGAGTTACACTTGGTGAAGTGACTACGTTCCTGCCCCTGGAGAATATCATAGACATTGTAGGCAACTTCTCTGGTCCCAAACTCAAGAGGAAAATGACCTGGCACCTTGTTTTGGCCACACCTCTTTCAGAATTTTCTGTAAGTCCCAGCTGAACTTAATGCTACTGAATCCACACCTCCAAACTCCTGCGGACGTGGACTGTGGTGTGGTGTCTTGTGTTCACCATGCTAGTCTACAGAGGGCTACCACTGGCTTCCTCCTCCCTGGTTCTGAAGTGAGCACTGTGGGCTGGGACTGTCCACATATGACCACACCACCTCGAGGCAGGGGGCCTCACACTTGACACAAAGCAGGTCACAGCACTGTGGGGAACATTTTCAGCTGCTCCTTGCAGCTGCAGCTCCACGTCCACGTTTGTGGCCCTTACCAGGATGTCAGAGTCCTCAGGATCCCTCCTCGAGGCCAGGCTGGAGCAGTTGCGCAGCTTGAATGCCCAATACTCCTTGGCAGTGACAAAGAAGTTCCATGGCAGCAGACCGCCAATGCCCAGGCTGAAGAAGATGGCGTAGGTAGCGTGGCAGTGGTCCTCAGGTCTCTGCAGGCCAGGTGGCGGGTGGTCCAGCTGCTTCCCAAGGCTGCCGGTGGCTCTGTAGGTGGCATTGGAGCTGAGACAGGCATCCTCTGGGACAAAGGCCACTGTTGGGGCAGGGAGAGACCCAGACAAGGGAGGTGAGCAAACACTGCAGCCAGGCACGGGGGACTTGCATATAAAACTGTACCCGCCCCTGGATCACCAGGGCCTGGGCTGCTCAGAAGTAGAGGAAGACAGGACATTAGAAGTGATGTCAAGGTCACCTCAGCCATGCCAAGGCAAGGCAGGTAGCACACAAGGGTGGGGCAGGTTGGTGTGAGACACTGTGGCCCAACCTTAGAGGCAAACCTGGTCGCAGGTATCCCCTTTCCGCTGTATGTGGCCTTTGAATAGTGAAGGAGGATGTTCCAGGGCATTTCCAATCTCTAAATCTTTCCAACTTTCCAGGGCAAAGAACAATCTCTAAATCTGTCCAACTTTATAGTCAACAAGTGAGGACAGTGCATAGAAATGATATTCATGCAAAAAGGTGTGTCAGGGAGAAAACTCACATGCACACACACCCCACACATTACACACCCCTCTGCTCTGCACAGGCCACCTCCAAAAGGACACTGAAGAGATTTCTTCAGTCTTGCTATGTAGCTCAGGCTGCTCTTGAACTAACTATGGAGCCCAGGCTGGCCTTGGATTCACAGGGATCCTCCTACCTCAGCCTCCCAAATGCCATTAAGGCATGTGCCACCACACCCAATGAAGACATCTGTGACAGTGGAGAGAGATGGGGGGGCACCTCACGGCTCATTCTTTTTTGTGCCTTTTGAACTTTGAGCTATGTGAATTTATTAGCTTTTCAAAAATAAAAATTTAAATTATAAATAAAAACAAAGGCACTTGAATTAAATAAACTTTTTAAAGTGCAGGAAGAATATCTAGAACTGCCGCCAGAGCCAGTGCAACCATGCAGAGTCCTCACTTCAGTGGTGGGGAAACAGAGGCCTAAGCACAGCCCACAGGGTAGGACGCGATGGTGCTGGAATCCGCAGGTCCTGCCCAGGGCGCTGTCCGCTCATCTATCCCCTGACCACACTAAAGGAGAAGTCTGGGTGAGTGCCGCCTGTGCGGCCTTGGTCACCTTGCCAGACTTGGAGTCCTGCTCTCCCCACTCAGCAACCAGGGAGGCCTGTTTTACGACAGTCAGTGACTCCCTCTGTCTGTGGGATTCCCACTGTCCGGGGGGCCCAGCCCGGAAGTGAAGTCAACAAACAGTGCCACCTCCCCTGTCACCCTGGGTTGTCACCTGGCTCGCTGGCATCCCACTTATTGCTGTCCATGGCACCCGGAGTAGGACAGCAGCTTACAGATGGGGACTGCTCCCACAGTGCTGAGGATGGGACTGTCCAGGATGCCCCTGGCAGCTTCCTCATGACCTAGCGATGAATAAACACACTCACTGCATCACTGCTGACAGAGGGGGCGGCGGGGTGACTCAAAGCATCAAGCCAGGAGCATCTGCCTGAGACGGGAATACCCCGACAGGGCCCAGCACCCTTTGCGACATCAGGGAACATCAGGGCACTCCTTGGCATCAGCCAAAGTTACTGTTCCTTTTTCAGAGAGAAAGACTGAGGCCTTCAGGGCCCTTGTTCTGTTCCACATTCAAACAGAAAGAATCCCAAGAGCTAAAGGCCAGCCCAGAACTCACTACGCCAAGGCCATGTCTAGCACAGGAGCCTGGCAAGAGCCTAGTGTGGTGTTAGTTATGACTACCAGATGCCATTCTCAGATGAGGGGTCCACGGCCAAGTGTGGCTGTGGCTCACCCAGGGTCACTCTGCTACCACTGCAGTCACACTGCTGGGTGGTCTGGGACTCCCCCAGACTCCCCTGTCTCCCCAGAAGGACAGGCTGGGAACCTGACCTTGTATCTCTGCCAGGTTCTAGTTCCTGCCGGCCTCAAAGCCAGGGAGCTTCGAGCAGAGAGGAGGTGGCCCTGCAGGCACACTCATCACCTTTCACTGAATGTCTGGGCTCTGTACCCCATGACACCATGCCTAGCAGGGCACTGCCAATGCAGGCGGGGTAACTCGGGATCCTGGCCTCCTGTGTGGCGTGCCCATGTGGGGCACTCGGACAAGGCTGCAGAGCACCTGGGCCCAGAGCGTCCCTCAACAAGCCTGTTTTTAAACTTCTTTGGCCAAGCAGGGCCCCTCAATCACCCAGCATAAACCCTAACCAGACAGGGCATGCATGCGTGTGCGCGCACACACACATGCTCAGAATTAGTGCCAGAAAAGGGAGAAGGCAATGAAGACGCTCAGAGAAGCACAGAACTGCAAGAGGTGCGAAGGTTGTAGCTGGGAGGGGGCTGCCTCGGCCCCCACCCACCCAGGGCACCTTTCTGGTCCTGCGCCTATTTGTCCAGGACCACTCAGCCTTGACCAAGCTTCTGAAGGAGCCAGGAATTTTCTCTAACCCGGGTCACAGGCTGGGGCACTGGAGTGAGCCAAGTCTTATTACTCTTCATAAAAGCTAGCTGCTGGCTTTTGGATTAGAAAAAGACAAAAGAAGGTAAGGAAGCGCCCAAGCCTGCTCCGCGTGGCCACCCCAGCCTGGCCTTGCTCCTTCCCCGGGGACCTGGCGCTGCAGCCGCCTGTGGGCCTGGAAGCCCGGGTGCATTTCCAGCCAGCGAGATCCCCGGCTCTTGCCAAGGCAGTAGTCCTGCCCCCGGGTAGCAGCTAAGCCACAGCAGAACCGGCCTCCAGATCCTCGGGCTGCTTGGTTCACACTGAGCCCGGGGCCGGACTCTAAGGTCCAATCTCAGGGAGGAGCAAGGGCGTGAGGGGAGGAGAGAGCTGCAGACCCGAGCGGGGGCGCCGCACAGGTGGCCGGGATCGCGACCAGGACTAGGGGGCCAGGGAGCGCCGCGGGGCCCGGCCCGCACTTACTGTCGCCGCCGCGCCGCCGCCACAGCCTCCGGGCCGTGAGGCCACTGCGACTTGGGCTCCGCAGGCCGTAGGCCGGGCTCCTCCTCCCGCCCCGCCCCGCGGTTCTTCCCGGTTCGCCGGCTGCTTTGGTTTCGACCCCTGCTGCGCTCCCGGGCGCCCCCTGTCGGCGCGCGCTGGGCCGGCGCTCGCCGCTCACAGGCCTGCACCGTGAGGCTGCTCGCCCGGGAACCCTGCGCACGATTCCGTGGTGCAGCCGCCTCGTCCGGCATCTCTCTGAGTCAGTGCGAGGCCTCGCGCTCCCACGGTGAGCGTGGTCTCCTCTGCTCTGCAGAGATTTCCGGGAGGCCCGGAATCCGAGGCGCAGGGGGCGACAGTGGGCAAGTCCAGCTTCACTTCTGACCTTGGCCGCTGTCTGCAGCCACAGCTGTGTGTGTGGCCAGGAACTTTCAGTCCAGAGCTGCGACCTGCAGAAGGAAAGAGGCTTTATTAGGGTCTTAGGAATTGCAAGTTGGAAACACAGACTCAAAGGAGCAGGCATGGTGACGCGCCATAAACCCAGCGCTCAGGAGGCTGCGTAATGAGGTCAAGGCCAAGCTGAGGGGCATAGCAGGACCCTGCCTCAAAAAACAAAGAACAAAGCAAACAAACAAAAACCTCCACAGACT